CTTTGACAATTTAGCTGGCAAAAGACACGAAAAATCGTCGATTCTTTCGTATTTGAAGCAATTTGGAAATCAAAGAGGAATAGAATTTAACATTAGTAAATAATATAAAATAAATATTGAAAATTATAACGAGATAGTTACAGCTAATAGATATATTTAAATTAATAAATGTTATATGTTTTTATCAAAGCAAGAATCGGCATTTAGAGGGCATAGGGAATCTATCAAATCTAATAACAGAGGTAATTATCTTGAACTTTATTAATAACTATTTATTAATTACGTCAGATAAATAATCTATTAAAAATACATTTAAAGAATTAACTGGTTGCCCCTGGAAGTCAGCTTCTTACAGAAACACAGCTTCCCTATCATCAAATGTCACGGCACACCACTGAAAAACATGCAACAAAAAATTATTACGGCATATTTCAATATGTTCTAAAGTTCTGTATTTTTGTTGACTGAAAAGCTTTAATAATTTTGAATGCTCTTGTATCCCAGATTGCTGTATTCCCCTTAGTAGTATTATCAAAAATTAAATATACACACACATTCATTTTAAAAAGTAAAGGTGGCCATCTTTGTATGTCCACTCAAGATCAAATTACTTTTTATTAAATACATACCATTTGCCAATATACAACCTCAAAGAAATAGGATATTGAATATCTCTTATTTCTTGAATTAAGTAAACTGTTAAGATCACACTAGTTATTGCCTCACCATGCCTATTCTGCAATATATACTTACCTATAATAAGACAGCAATCCATTTGAAAGCACAAACCATCGCTTTTGATAACCTTTTAAATAATTAGTCCATTTATATAGCCATCCTTTCATTTCAGGTTCTTGTTGTTGAAATTTAACATCAGCCATACTATAATTTATAGATGTTGATTAATGATTGTAAAAGGATATCTGAAAATTATTCAAAATTGAAATTTTCTAAGGACAAAACAGAAGATGATGAATATTTCCACATTATTAATCTTCTTTCCACTAAAAAGTTTCTGCAAAAGAAAATAAATATATATCAATTTTCATTAAATCAAGAAATTTATGTTATAAATAGTATCCTAATCTTAATCAAGATATTGTCTATTAATATAATAAACTTATCTTAATATTAAACAATAAATTTGTTAAAATCTTTCTGTTGATTCTGGTGATTGTTTTGTCTTTTTGAAAAAAGACAAAACAATCACTGACACGGTTTCAAGAGTGTAAAATCTTTCTGTAATACATTATAAAAAAAATATTTTACATTATCAATACAGTAGAGCGTCGTTTATCAAAATCAATTGGGGACTGGGGTTGTTCGGATAACTTATTTTTCGGATAACCGATTATGTACAAAAAAATACAGTATATTAACCTATCTTGTGTTGAAATTTTTCTCCGTTGCGTGTCGCTTTGCGTTGAATTTTCATCAATGTTAAGCCTAATGTAAACTTTTTAAATAATAATCATGGCTATTGTATCATTAAAAATTATTTCTTTATTTTTTACAAACAATATATTGAAAAATATAAAAACAAAAAAAATTATACTTTAGAAGTTAATCTAGTATCAAAAACATTCGATTCAGTACGACACAGTCCTCAGAAAAACACCACAGAAAAGTGCCAGTGCTGCCAGCTAAAACACCCACACCAACAAAAAAAATATTGGAGTAGCCCAAGCTATAGCCAAAGATTGCAGCACCACAGCACTAGTGAAAATTTAAATTTGCTGACTGGAATTCTTTTGGATAACTGACATTTTGGATAAACGACACTCTACTGTATTCAAATTATAGTGAAGTTATTAAACAAAATCTGTAAGTGAAAATTAGAAGGAAAAATTTAATCCACATTTTAGGCCATTATTCTGGTCACCTTCAGCTTATAAATACATTGAATAGTGTGGAATGAGGAATTCAAAACAAAAACAAATGATTATAGAATTGTAAATATTCAAATAAGTAGAATTACTTCAGAATTTAATATTTTTAAAATGGTATTTATTACCCAAAAGTTTAAATAATAAATTATGAATTTCATAAAAATGTATTTTATATAACTGAATTAAAAATACCATTAAAATATCATATAATTATAATTAATTAAAACACTACTGCTGCAAAGATAATTATGTGAATTCATGTGTAAATAATATCAAAATTAGAAATATGATTTTCTTGTTACAGATATGTTGCAAAGACTTGGAAAACAAGTGTATGATACTTATATTTTAATATACAGGTAACCCCCGTATAACACGGCACTTCTATAGCACGGATTCGCTCTGACATGGTTCGAGAATTGGGTAAAACCCTCGTACAACAGGAAATGTAATAAATTTTTACATACTTAAGTAATAATAGTTCACAAAAATTATTATTTTCATAAACTATTAGTACTTAAGTATGTAAATCTTCTCGCCTTCTGTCGATACACGTGGTCCTTCTCGAAACTTGTTTCAATGTTGCCAGATCGCAACGCTTCTGCTTCTGATGTTGCCGAATGTTTTTCCCTTATTCCATACTTGCTTTATTCTTCATAAGTGCTTAGCACCATATAAGGAAATTTATAAAGACCTTTTAACTAGAAGCAAGCAATCTAAAATTACATACATTTTGCAAAAGGTAAAGCATGGATCTGAAGATAATGCAGAAAAATGCTCAGAGGATAAGGATAACTTGCCAAAAAGAAAACGCTCTCGGTTAATTAATAGTGTTTTTAGTGATGACTAAGAAAACATTGTTTAATTTATATTAATATGTATCACTTAAAAAAATTTTAATGAAGATATTTATCTTAATTATGAAAATATACTAGCATGTTTTTTAATTTTTGGAACCTAACCCTCCTTTTCGTATTAGTTCTTTGTTTCGTATAACACGGATTCGCATAACACGGCAATTTTTTGGAACGTAACTACCGTGTTATACGGGGGTTACCTGTATAAGTATTTTATTTATAAGAGAATAGTAAAAGTAATTTTTTCAATATATAAGTGGTACAATATGAAATTAGAATTTATAAAAGTGAAAATTATGGCTATCTTATTTATATCTTTTTCAGTATTTTAGCCATAAAAATTTTAAATGTCTAAAAAGCTAAATCATTATACTTTGGTGTGATGAAAAGCAATTAGCAAGATGAATACAAGCCCAATATAAACTGTAATGCAGATCATATTTTCACTACTTTTCAAATTTAGAAGAAAATTGAAATTTAAGTGTTCGGAAATATGTACCATAAATCAAAATTTATGTATAGAAATAAATTTTAAATTTCTATTTATTAAATACAGTAGAGCATTGATTATCCAAAACAATTCAAGAATGGGGTTGTTTGGATAATCAATTTTTCGGATAACTGATTACGTATGAAAAAATATATTAACCTATCAAATGTTGAAATTTGTTCAAATCCTGGCATGTCCTTAAGTACCCTCTCATGGTTGCACCAGTGCTGCCAGCTAAAACATGCACACCAACAAAAATAATATTAGTTAGTAGCCCAAGACATAGCCAAATATTGCAGCGCCACAGCATTAGCGAAAATTTAAATTTGCCAACTGGAGTGCTTTCGTTTAACCGATGTTTCGGTTGATCGATATTCAGATAATCGATGCTCTACTGTATATTGATTATAAAAAGAGTATTAAAAAAGCTTTTGTAGGCTATTAAGTTTTTGAACTGCAATTTTCAAATTGCAGACCTATAAATTCCATTGGTGTATGTCTGTCAATCTGTCCTTCCTTAATCTTGAGAACAGGGTTAGATAGATGAAAGTTGAGAACAGATATGGAAAGTTTAAAGGCAGGAGGCCCCAATTAACTATATATGAACTTCCAGTTTGGACCATAACTCACAGAAGTTATTTCAATTCAAAAATTTTCTCCAGAATGGAATTAGCTAGATATCCAGCATGCTCTATTGTTAACAGGAAAAATACAATGTACAGAGGCAAGACACAACTAAAATTGAGTTTTTTTAATATAAGTTTTAACTCTATAATCCTTTATCATCAAGTGTAGTATTTCAAACAACCAAATAAATATCTAATGATTTAACAATGTACAATTTGTTAATCAATTTTATGTTGTTAAACCAATGGATACTTGTTTGGCTGTTTGAAATACTGATGATAAAGTATTATAGAGTTAAAACTCTTAAGAATACAGCTACCCTAAAATGAAGGAGCATAATTTTTTAAATTTATTTGATTTAAAATATATGCTTTCCACTTCAAATTAGTAGCAGAGGGGTTGCTCTGGAAAATTTTAAAATATCACCAACCATTTGCCAGTTTTAAATTTTTTTTGCCACCTCAACTTATTTATCGCCACTAGTTTTACTTACTAATTAATGCAGGTTCTAGTAGCCTTATTAGTTTGACATCTGGAAATCAAAAGTAAGAAGCTGTCACATACAAGGAGAGAATCATATATTTGGGTCTTCAATTCAAACAAAATCTGATGAGCACACTGCCTTAAACACAAACAGTTCCTTGTCCAAAAAATGGACCTCTGAAAATTTAGTGTTTAGCTTATAAATATTTGAAAGTTTCACATTTCTACATTTCTGAATGGTGATGATTGAGTGGATAGGATGCAAGGCACTGGAGCTAAATAATGTAGGTTCAAAATTTTAGTTTAGTTTTGCATTTTTGTTTGTGTAACATTGTTATTTTATTTTACCACATCATTAGCATTATTATTACTAATATTATTCCTCACGTTTAAAGCTTATAAAACAAGAAATTACTAATTATGATAAGCTTTAAACATGAGGAATAATAATAGTAATAATAAAGCTAATAATATGGTAAAATAATAAGGTTAAAAAAAACTAAAATCAAAGGTTTGAACCTATATTGTCTAGTGCTAATGCTTAGCATCTTATCCACTCAGTTATTGCCTTTTTCATTTTTTCTTTTGAAATATTTACATTTATTTACAGAATAGTTTTATACATATTCTTGCAGTTCAGGAAGTGAGACATATCGTTTTTGCAGTGCAAATGACTGCATACATTTCGAAACGGCATTAAAATTTTTGTTTCATTGAATTAAAGAAAAAAATATACTGTATAGTTGAGTTAGTTGCATTCCAACAATCAGTCTTTTACAGTTTGTAGATTATTAGTTTGTGATTGGTTTCAGAGATTTGTATAATTCCTTTTGTTTTCAATTTTTCAGTGATTTTACTTCTTTGATTTGGGCTACTTTTGTTTATGCTTTCTAGTAGTAGCTGTAGATGACACTTAAATTTTCAGTTGTTGTTGTTTCGTTGATATTGTGGAAATATGCAGTGTTTCTGATTTTCCAAATAGTTTTGAATGCTGTTATTAAGATAGCATAATTTACTTCTTTATTTTGCATGTTATGAAGCCATTGGAGTTTATGTTTGTTTTTTGATATTCCTGAATTTTTCCAAGAATTCCCATATCTTTTTTGTATGGGTGCATTGGAAAAAGGCATGCTCTACAGATTCTGTGGTTTGGCATATGGGACAGTTATCTGTGGAAATTAATTGTTTGTTTTTTTCCAAGCATTTGTAGAAAGGATGATGGATTCTCCAGACAACTGTTTTGGCATTGTTGCTTACTTTCAGTTTTGAAATGGTTTTGATTATGTTGTTGTTTGAGTGCTAGATTGTTGCCATCCTGTTTTGGGGTTTGGAATGTAAATATCTACTAGTTTGTCATATATTATAATTCATTAGGTTCTGATGACAGTATCTCTTCATCAGATAGATGCCCTTTTTTGCACCCTGTAACACCAGATTACTTCCTGCAGGATTGCTGGGGCTTTGATCTGTCAGTTATTACCGCTGAAGACACTAAGATATTTGAGATGTTGAACTGTATGTATACTTTTGCTAAACCCACTCAGCAATTGCCACTCAGAGACATGAAATTTTCAAAGACTTTCAAGATAAACACTAAAATTTCAGGAGATACATTTTTGGGAAACACTTTAGAAGTGGGTTCAATTACTTGGACAAGGAGCTGTTTGTG